AGTGCAGTTATAAAGTAGATAAAGTCCTGCAGCAGAGACATCTCAGTCTGTCTTTGTCCTGCTCACAGCTCACAGCTTCATTACCTTCAGTCATAGCTGTTGTCGGACTCTGATCAGTTCCTTCACCCTGCTGTGACCTTTGTTATTCAGTTTCACTCTCCAAATACCCTCTGGTGCTGAGTCTGGGGACAGAAATTGAAATGATTACAGAAAATACACTATGTCTCTGAGGATTTGTGTTCTGACTCCCCGGCAAGCTGCCCACACAGTGTGATAATCCTAACTGTTTCCAACCAGAAATCACAGACCTAAATATGAAAATATTTTATCAATTACATAATCAGATCATTTTGTATGGAGGATGCTCTGATGCCCCAAATCCATCAGAAACAGCAGGGAAGCAGTGGGACAAATGCTGTGATATTACAGTTGGTAAAGTGGGTTTGCAGTGTAGAATTATTGAACATTTCTCTGTGATATTTCTGTCATCTATTTTGTTCGAAATCAGAGACTTTGTCTAGTCTCTTAACATCTACGAAGGACAGATGGTAGATGGATGTCTGATCAATGTGACAGTAAGTCTCCAGGTCTCGGTCGAGTCAAAAATAACATTTTCTATTTATTTATTTTTTGTTTTTTTGCAGCCTGTAAATAAAATATTTGCTTTAAAGCACATGGGGATCTGTAGTGAGATGAGTCTGACATTAGGAAGCAAATGAGACCAAACAGGATTTGAAGGTTTCATACAGCTCAGACATCACATGGTGCGGTTCCAGGCCCGGCATCATCATATTTTCTGTATCCAACGTTCCCCTACTAGAGCTCTCTTCGTCTGTTTGCAGTGCAGGCAATCGTGTACTCCTTCTCTTTAGTTGATCAGAGCAGCTTTCAGGAGAGTCTCTCATGTAGCTGTGTCCACACAAGAGTGACAGGTTCATTAAGAAGACAAAGGCCGATTAGAAGAACTCCTCCTGGTCCCAGAGAGCTCTGCTCAGACTTTTCTGCCATCACTTTGGCGGGGCTGAGCAGGAGTGGATTTTTTCTGGTTCTGATCGCAGCTGATAAATATTGTTTCTTTGTTATTGCAAAGGTCTTTTTTGGCAGTTAGAGTAATAGTCAGACAGCAGATAACATGACCTATAGTTACAATGCAAAAAAATGATATTAAATTCTGGCAGATCATATTCATTCCTCTGTCTGTCAGTAGAAACAGAGTTGTTAAATAAAACCGATGAGCAAGATGGCAGTGTTGACCATTGATGGTTGGGTTTAATGATGACTGCTGGATGTACTTCAGGTTTTATGTTTTATGCTTAGATAAACTCTCCTGGTGGGTCGATGCACTTGTTTATACATACTGTATATATACCTCAGCATCAGCTGTGGCCAGAGGCATTATGGTTTCTGGGGCATCTGTCCATCCCATTCTCGTGAACGCCTTGAGCGAATTTCTTGGCACAAATATCCACTTGGATTCAGGGATGAACTGATTTGATTTTAGTGGTCAAAGTTCAAAGGTCAAGGTCACTGTGTTCTCCTGTCTGTCCCATGTCTCCTGCCCTGTGAACTTGACTGGTGAGTGGAGGCGCACAACCACAAGGTTGTAATTCTAGTTTTCATTTGGTTTACTGGGGTAGTTTTAAGGTTTTGTCGATATTGCGTACTATGTCGGCCAGATTTCGGGGCCTGCCTTAATCATTAGAGATCACAATCATCTATAGAGCATGGACTATAGTTGAAACTAATTCTATTGTTGGTCTAAAATACTATATATAATGGTAAACTTTACCAATAAAATTGACTTTCACCTTTTGGAATCCCCTAAGCAAACAGAGCAAATACACTCATTGACTGCGACATCAGTCTTGGCCATGAGTGCATTTACTCTGTCCGCTATAGCTCTGCGATACAGTGATCTTTCTGTGGATGTAAAGGTCATCGTGAACGCAGCAAGAAAAGCCGGTCAGATTTCCCAGAGAATGAGAGAGGCTGTCATAAACAACCTTTATGACTGCAAATACCACACAGTCGCTTGATCAATTTAATATTAAATCTACAGCACAAAATATGTAGAAAGTGAAGAGGTCTGAATATTTTCTGAAGCCACCAAGTCCTACGCAGACACATTTCTAATAATGAGATATATTTCAAAAATATCTCATTAAGAGCATGGTTACTGGTTTTACCACTCAGCAGGATGGTAAAAGGTGGCCTCACAAACTAGACCATAAGCTTTCTGTACACGAAACTGGAAGTAGTCTGAGATGGTTATAAACCCCAATACACATTTTCAATTTAATTTAATCCATCTAATGCATTATTTTGGACTGTGCCTGAAACAAGCACTCTTGAAAATTGAGTACTTTGTCTTCTGGCTGAATTACCTCGTGTGTGCAGCAGGTGATGATAAAACTGTTTTGAATGAAGTGAATATATCACACACACATCACTAACTTCTCATTGCACAGCTCAGTGCAAAGTGTTTGAAATGGGTCTTTTAATGACTCATCTATCCAATCCATGGATAATCAGCGGATCCTTGAGAAATTATTGAAGCATGTTAAGCCGACGCTCAGACACTGATTCCTGTGGCTCGCTAATGAATGAATGGAGTTCAGGACAATAAATGGTATGTTGTCTTGTTCGACTGAGGTGCTTTTAAAAATAATTTTAAGGTTGAATATACTTCAGTTTCATCTTACAGTTATATTATTTGCACAGATTCAAAATGCATTTTGAAAAAGTGTGGATTGAATTAAAATTCAAACAAGAAAGGGACAAAACAAAAATGAGCAGTAGATGAGTAAATAAAATTAAAAACGGACATCGTCTCTATTTCTACAGGTCCGCGGCACAAAGTGTCCCAGGTCAAAGGCACATGTTGCAGATCCTCTGCAAACTGTCTCTACTGAAAGTATAAAAGGCTTTTCATATGCAAATGAAATTAATTTACCTCCCCCCCAGTTCCACTACCGCATAATCCAAAATGTGTGTCACTTACAGCGGTTAAGGGGATTTAAGTGATTTCAAGGCAGTTCCTTAAGTCTTCCATTTGAAATTCATTGAAAACCGACTTGGGGAAGATGGGGTAGAAAATCTCTTTGGAACTGTTATGGGCTACGAAAACACTTATTGGCTCTCACACTTATCTTTTGCCATGTAAACAAATAATCCACTGGAGGAAAATGCAAATTGCATTAGCCTCAGTGTTGCTGAAGGTCAAAATTGGCGGCTGCTGTTATGGTTTGTGTAGGAGCCATATGGTTTACAATAATGAGAAGAGCTCCTTAAACATGAACTGCAGCTCTTGTATTCCACAGGCAGAGAAGTCATTTGTGTAACTAACACTCACATACATTTATGCAGCACGAGTCAAAACTGAAATATCAGTGAACCCTCTCCTTTTTTCAAATGTAAGTGTTCAAAATGCCTTGTTGCCCTGGCTTAGTTATGAAACAAATATGACTGAATTTCATCAACCTGACCTGAACAAGTAATTACACAGGGATATTCATAAACTATAAACTGAATAATACTCAGTTGAACCTTGAATACACCTTGTATCCTCAGTTATTACATTATTCCTAAAGGCAAAGTGTTAATAATGCAAACATCCTGCAAATACAGTATAAAGTGAATGAATCAATGAGGTCATGTACTACATCTCTGAACGTGATTCTTTTTATTTTTATTTTCTTGTCAGGCTGGAGTCTCCAACACGTACCTTGACCATAGAGGCTCCTAGAGGGGTCGAAGTAAGCGCTGCCAAGGGGCCATTGAAGGTCAGCAGTCGAAAGGACCTACAGCTGGAGTCCACAGAGGGAGAGGTGAGGAAGAAGTTCATTTTTCATGCCCTTGTGTTCATCGATTTATTTTTAGGATGTAAGAAGTTTAGTGAGATTTATGAGGATTTAGTTGCCTTTATACAGAGTACAGCTGAGGCTGATGACAATGTCATTAGTTTGCAGGTGTTTGGTAAGAAACCCAGCAGTAGCCAACAGGGTAAATAGAAATTCTGACCTAATGACGGGCACTATTTGTAGTCTCACAGTAGCAAGTTTCCCATGAGCCCTATAAATTTGAACATTCTAGATCAGCAGATCCAGAATATTACTTGGATCCAGATCAGACTTTAGTGTGTGGTCGATCTTATGGAGAGGTTATCTTTTGTCCAAGCATTCCAGGAATTGTGTGCAAGGTTAGAAGCGAAAACACTGAAATTGGGCCCATTTCACAATAGTGAAGAATTCTTTTAAAAAATTCCTGAAACCAGATGATGATCACCACCAGATTCTCAGATTGTTTCGTGGGCCATACCCTACCTTTCTTTAAAAAAAAAATCATTAAAATCCATTCATAACTTCTGAGTTGTGCTTTAAACGAACCAGCAAACGCCAGTAAAATCATAACATCCTTGGTGGATGTAATAGAGTTTCTCCTTCACTGCTTATCCAAATTCACTAGGTCAGTGCTGCTGTATTTCACTGCACCTGTCACATTGTATTTACTGATTGCACCAGACATTTATCAGTTTGAGCTGGTTATATATCACCTCAGGGCACCTGTGGTGATGCTATTTGAATGACTTCCAGCATGTCTCTGATGTTTTTCCTCCTAGATTCTTTTAGATGCCAACACCATTCAGCTGGTGACCCTCCCTGTTGGTATCTACACAGCGTCTCCCAGTCAGGCCTCCCAGGAACAGGCCATATACGAGGTGTGTGTCTGCCCCAGCGGGAAGATCTACCTCTCTCCTGCAGAGAGCAGCTCCACCTGCCAAGTCATGAGCAACATCTGCCTCTGGAGCTGACCTGGGAGCAGTGTCGGTGATGAGGGACACATTTAACATCTGCTCCAGAGCTGCTGAGACTGAGACTCTGTTGGTACATTTGACAGAGAGTAGACCTCACTTCAGCAGAGACGGAGGTCAAAGTCTTCACTGCGTGAGCTGTCTGCGTTCAGATTAGTACAGAAGCATCCGAGTCCATTATCTGCAGTGGTCTAGTGGAGGTCAAGACTTGCGCACCAGTCATACGATCAGAGGAATCGCAGTGTGAGAAGCTCTCTGAAATCAGGAACACTGCATATAAACAAGAAGACTTCCACTACCTTGTATTAGAGTCAGAAGACAAAACTTTTATTTTTCTACTCTAGGTTCATAATAGACATGCAGTGACTGTTTCAGGATTAAGAAAGAGCAAGAGAAGACAAAACACAGGTGCCTTCAGCTTTGACAGAAGTTTTACTGAATTCATGTCTTGAAGCTGTGATGGTAGAAAGTCCAGTAAGCACAACTCTACCATGTTTTCCCCCCAAATCCCAGATTTTAGAGTATTCTTAATAGGTATTTTAGTTTTTTCCACTGTGTTAAGCAGCTGTTTAATTTGAAATTAAACATGTTTTTATGTGGCACACACAGTAGTTGAAGTTTAACTTTGATAAAGACGAGTGAAGCAACATGAACAAGGTGTTTTGAATGTCCACAAGACTCCTCCACGTTAACGTAACTGTTCTACAGTTTCTTGATGATTTTGCATGAGTTGACTAGTTGAGAAAACAGTTTCATAAGAAGGTATATTTCCCCCTAAAATATAGTAAAGTCAGAATATGAAGTAAAATAACTCAAAATTGTACTTGGTTACTTTCCACCATTGCATTTTGATTAGCAGATCAGTTTAACATGCTCTTTTTTGACTATATTAAGCGAGTTATTGTCCATCTGGGCTTGAAAGCTTGACCTGAATAGCAGCAGCAGCAGCTCAGTTCAGAACTCACCCTAGGGTTCACTTAGTAGTTATGCTGGAACTTTTGATTGCATGATATTCTCTTCAATGTGTGTTAAAACTCTTGAAGTGCTCAGAAAAAAAAGAGGAACTTTAGAGATGTTTTTTATTCCATAACAACTGGGAAAACCCCATCTGACAATGGACCTTTTCTTTTTACCTCTGCTTCCAAAAGTAAAGTTTAGGTTTCGATACTTATCATTCACCTCACGTTTACAGAAAATGCTCTCATTTAATTGCCTGCTAGTAGCTCCTGCATATTAAAACCTCCCTGAGTGTGTGAACTGTTCTCCTCTCTGAGGCAGCGGCCCTCTGCGGAGTTCGCCACAAGAGTCTGGCTGACCTTGGCACTGCAGCTGAGAGTGAGGCAGTCAGCCACGTGTCAGAGGCCTGCACGAGCTCCAAGTTTCACTCTACTCCACTTCCTCGTCTTCCATCATCACCCTCTGGCACGGAGGGGCTAATTTGGTAAGAGCCATAGAGCTTACTTGCACGGTAAACAATCTGCTCCCTAAGCATTTCTTAAGTGGTAGTGAGATGATGGGGACAGAGCTCGATAGGATTTAAAATAAAAAATAAAAGAAAAAAAAAAAACTGAACCATCTTCCAAATCCACTTATCAAATTCAAATATAAGTAGTCTGTTAGCTTAACATTTAAAAGGTTTGTATTTAACTCGGTGCAGAAACAAAAATTTTAACTGTTTTATGTAACAACAGATTTATAGCTATTTATAATCACATCAATAAGGCACTTTTGTGATTACAGATTTTTTTTATAGTTGTGTTAACCTGGAGAGTATTAAAACCCATTTTCTACGAACATTCAGCATTTCACCTGATGGAGGCTGGAACGTTACAAAGCAAGTCTTTCCTCAGCCACAGGCAATCACAAAAGAACTGGCCTGAGAGCGTTTCAAGGTGGAGAACAAATATGGTAGCCTGCTGCTACAGTCACGGCCGGGTGCACATCACAAGTTCTCTGGCTCTAATTAAGCCCAGAGTTGCTGTCAAAAAAAACCAGATCAGTGCTGAAAAGAACTACTGTACATTCTGTATTTTAATCTGGTTTTCTCAAAAGCATGTGGTGGAGCTGATTGAGAACTATGAATACGTAACACCATCTAATAAAATATCAGTGCTGCTCTGCGTCAGGCTTTCAAATTGTCTTTAGTATACTTTTAAATGTACATTTTTATATTTATAGTTCAGACATTTGTCTTAAAAAGTCACAATAATAGCTACAGTATGTTACTTTTTTCAAATATGTTTGTTGCAGAAATCTGCTCCAAAGCTTGTTTTTAATGTGGAGAGTTGTGGTCGAAGCCCACTGTGACCGATACTCAAATCAACAGCGCTGGCAGCAGTGCAGAGATACTTATTAGCTTCTATAAGGATTTGAGCAGGACTGACCTCTCTAACCAGTCAGAGATTTTCAGTTATTTCTGCTTGATCTATAAGTATCATTTCATTTTCATTTCTTGTAATTTTATAACAAATATCTTTAGATCTGGGCAGCGCGTGGCGGAGCAGGGAGAGGGAGCACTGTGCAGAGCAGAGTGCATTAATTTAGTTTCATGCTAGCGCTACCTTAAGTACAAATTGTAGCTTTATTACTGAAAAAATGGGAACTGATAATTCACTCCCTTCCACCAGCACTAATACACAAACACTGGTGGCTAAAGACCCCTGTTTTTACATTTCTGATCATCCTGAAACATTCATCCTCACAGGAACATTAGTGATTAAAACAGAACATGCATGTAGGTTTAAATGGCATCTTTAGAAATGATAACCGTTACCTTCAGCTACTGAAGACCATCTTTCCAGCAGGTAACTCAGTGTAGCTTAGAAATCAATTTTTAGGATACCCATCTTGTGTCCACTCACACTTAGATCACCTCATGGTTGATGTTGCACCATTAAACACTGAACAAACAGGTCATTTTACAGGATGTGTGAGGAAAAAAAATAGTCTTTATCAATTTAAATTCATCAACCATCAAGAATATTTTCAATGGTGGGTCAAAAGTAAAAATGTGTCAAAAATAAACTCCAGTTTCCCTGTCAACCCAATTCTTTGCTTGTGCTGCCATCTACTGGCGTTTGGACCTCAAGATTATATTTAGAAAATTTAAATCAACTGAAGTTCAGATCTGAATTGCTGCCTGGACACTGAGGGCAACTGTTCACAGGGACCCTGAAAGGCCTGGGTTCACTGTGAGTCAAATTAAATTGCTATAATCAATTTAAAACATGTTTTTAAAAAAAATTGCACCACTTAAATACATGAAGTACAAAAATGTCAAGGTGGGCCCTGCAGTGATTTGTTTCACAGAGTGGTCCCGTATCAACCACTATTCAGCTTACTCTGTTCCAAATTATTATTCAAGTGACATATTAGTAGGATTTTGATAAAAAATAAACATTTTGGCTTTTCTGTTGTATTGCTCACACATTGTAAGATATCTGTATTAATCTTAGACAGGGTTGTTAATTAGCCAGGCAATCTTAACTAAAGGGAAATCTATGTGAAGAGGTACCACATTATTAATGAGCTGCCAATAATGGATGGGTCAAAAAGGGCCACAATAAAAGCTCTTTAAGCACGTTACTTGCTTAAAGTAACGTACTTACCTGTAGTAAGTACTTGGCTTATTAAGGAAAGCTTCCAAATTAACAGCATCAAAAGGGAAGCTATTTTAAAAACAAGCATATGTTTAGCAGCAAACAGGCATTTGAAACTGCTGGTTTCTTTGGACTTCCAAGAACCTCTCGATGCAGAAGCATGGGGCATTTGGCAGTAGTGCATATAGCTGCAGTTTGGCCGTGCCTGAACAAAGATCAGAAAAGAATACTTGCACTGGGCTCAGAAATAAATGAGAATTAATTTGCAAACAGTTCTATTCACTGATGACTCCTGTGCTACACTGGATGGTCCAGATGGATGGAGTTCAGTTGGCAAATGGCCACCCTGCTCCAATAAGACCAAGACATCTGCAAGGAGGCGGAGCAATGATCTGGGCTGGTATACTGGGAAATGAGAAGGTAGGTCTCTTTAGGGTGCTTGAGGGTGTCAAGATGACCTCCGCAAGATATGTGGAGTTCCTAACTGATCATTTCCTGCCATGGTATAAAAAGAGGAATCGTGCCTTCTGGACCAAAGTTATCTTCATGGAGGACAACACACCCTCCCATGCTGCACAAAACACCACAGTTTGACTGCTATGGTCATAAAAGGAGACAAATGGCCTCTGTTATTTCCTGACCTCGACCCTGCTCAGAACCTGTGGAGCATGTTTAAAAGGAAGATCTATGAGGGTGCATGGCAGCATACCTCAAAACAGCAGCTCTGGGAGGCAACACTGGGGAAATACTGGCAGAAACACATTCGATGGATGAGAGTTGTTCAAGTCACATCAAAGAAGGGCTTGTATAGTAATATGTAACAATGTAAATAGTTTAGTTGCTTTTAAAAGATTAAAAATGGTCTATTCATGCAACAGACTGTTTTGAGCTCATTGTGACCTACTGAATGGTTTCAAACTTCAATCTGCATTATAATTTGTAAAAAAAATTTTTTTTAAATTCTTTTCAAAACAGAAAAATCTGTCACCTCAATATTGGTTTTTCTTGTCCAACTACATGGTTATACATTTGCTGAGGATAAATATATATATATATCTGTTGTATTCAACATCCCTCCACACATATCCAAGTCTTTTCTATGTGTAACCAAAGATTTTTAATTATCCATGGGTCGGCTCGATCAAAGAAAGATGAACATGATTTAGTAAACTGGACACATATCACCATCAAAATTCGAGATGCCACAACCACAGCAACATATAAGGTGGTGCTGCTGTACTCTAAAATGGGAGCTGGGGCTAAAATAGTCACTGCGTCAGGTCATCTATAGTCCAGGCCCCCTTGTGGTCATCAACCATGTTTAAATGATCAGAAAGGAACTCAGAATATGAAAGAACCTTTAATTCTTTAACACCAACTCCATAATTAAAGAGAGTATCTGAATAAAATAAAACAAGCCACCCCATGATCAACTGTAATCTTAAACCATCCAACAGATGAAAATGAACCATGAAGAATTTAATTAAGCAACACATTTTCTGTTGTATCATAAAGGACTGTTTAGATAGGATAAAAGAGCAACTTTTATTTGAAGTATAGAGAATAATAAAGATAATTCTGAATAGATACTGAACACAGATCAGTTAGATATAGGCCTTAAGTGTGAGACTCTTGCAATGACTTATTTTAAAGTGTACAATACATAAATGACGTCAGTAATAAGTATACTAGTAATGATTCCTGCATCTCAGCCTGTATTTCAATTATACAATAAAAATGTCATGGCTTTCATCTTATGACCCGATGTAATACTGGATTTAGGGCCCCCATAATAATACCATTACTCCGGAATTTCAAAAAGTCTCAAACATTGATTGAACACATTTAACACCGCAAATTAGTTTGACTTCCCAAAGTTCTAGAGTTTAAACACTGTCATACCATCTCACAGCTGCTCTGCTAGCTTGTGCCGTGGAGTGTTGGCAACACAGCAGTCTGGTGAACAGACTTTTGTCTCTGTTACGAAATTAAATCAAGTAAATATGTATGGATTTTTCTGTGACATTTAAAACGAATATTATCAGCTGTCCAATATAATCAGTCAGGCTTGAACACTTTTGACATTAAAAAGCTTTTGTTAAAACCTGGAATCACTGCACATAAAACAGATCACACCTTTACCCATGGTTAAAACAAAAAGCACTGTGATGTGATCTGTTTAGAACAGCGAGAGTCATTTTCAGTGACTATTACATTTCCTTCCCAACAATAAGCACTGGTTTCTGTGATCTACTAAAAACACTGACACTTCAAGTGGAAGTAAAGGCTTAAAAGCTCATTGTATGTACTGGACAGTATTGAGGACCGGCAGACCTGGGTTAGCTCAGTGGCATCTTGTTTTCTTTCAGTATTGGTGGTTGCCTCTGTAGTCAAGGACATATCCACAAGGACGAACAGGCCTTCGGCTTCCACCTGCGTTTCTCTCGTCACCGTACTTGCTTTGCCTTAAGAAAGGGTTAATATGTTGTATTGGATAAGATGACAGTATTTCATTATGGTAATATGAAAAAATAAACTACTACCAACATTCAATCATCAGGTGTTGTCTTTAGTTAGAGTGGACAGAAGAGATCTGCTACTGCTTTGATTCACTGAGTGGTGTACAGGACTAGTTTTGACATTTTGGGAAATTTGTGTACTTGCTTTCATTACATAAGCTTAGCATAAAGAGTGGAAACAGAGAGCAAACAATTAGCCTTGGTCTCTCCAAAAGCTGCACATACAAGCAGAAGGAGGGGGAGTTACCCTTAGAGGGAGTTAGATGCCAGAACTATTTCTTGACAAGCAAGGCCGTTTCCTCTGCTTCTAGTCTTTATAATAAGCCAACTCCAGCTGCAAACACACTGTACACGCAAGTCATGTCAGTCCCCTCAAATGACCCCAGCAAAAGAAGCAAATCTCCTCCAAGTTTTAACTCATCCTTTAAATTCAGTGTTTAATATAAAATCCTCACCTCATATTCTCATCCTGCAGGTCATCGGCTTTGAGGGCAGATTTTGAAATGCCCATGCCATGAGGAATCCTGTCTGGGTATCTCACAACAATCTTGAAGCCATTAAACTCAAAGCCCTGAAAAAGTAAACAAAAAATATAGAAGTAGTAAATGGCTACAGGTGGACACTGTCCTACTACAGTCATATTCCCCCTTATGTGGAACAATAAATTGTCCTGTGACCAAACTCAAGAGAGCCAATTATTAGGGAACAGATAGGGATAATTAGAAATAACATAGTTAGTATTTTTAAATGAACTGAGATTAAATATGCTCAACTGAACAAGTAAACAGAACAGAGTACCAGTCTCATAAGAGATTGGGTCTGAAATAAAAGACATGCAATAGTCATGTAAAACAACTTGGAATTCTGGTTGTGACAAGTTTTGGCACATCACAAGGTATCTGAGAAGCAACTCTTAGTATGTGCAGTACAGTTCAGCAGCACCACCAACCACAGCCTCCGAAATGATCGTACAGTTTAATCAACACCTCTCTGAAACCGTATGAACGTGAGCAAACATCACCTTTATGGAGGAGGATTCAATGTAGGACTGTTGTTTGGACTGATTTAGTTTCAGCTGGGTGTAGGTAATGAACCTCCACCAGTGTATAGTCATATACAGTCACAAGAAAGAGCAATGGCATCTTGAAATGTGCTGGTTTCTGCATAAATTAGTCATGAAATGTGATCTGATCTTCACCAAAGTCACAAATATCAACAACCACAATATTTCTAGGCTCATAAGACAAAAGGATATTTATGTAATATAAATGTCAACACTAATCAACAGTGAAGACCATTAGAAACAGCTCAGGGTGTACTTACATTAAAGCGTCGGATTGCTTCATCACAATACTCTTGTTTTGTAAAGTTTACAAAGGCACATCGTTTGTTAATCAGGACTTTCACACTATAGACGACCCCGACCCTGCAGGAGAAGGTGTTTGAGTAATGATGTACTATGCAAAGTATGCATCTGATGACAAAGGCTGACTTTAAATACTTGGCTGTAATGTAGACATAAATAATATAAAGCCAAGAAATAACATAAAAAGGTTTAGTGTCTCACTACACAAACATTCAGCGTTCACTTACTTGTTAAACAGGTTGGTTATCATGGACTCAGTTACTGGGTGAACCAAGTTTCCAACCCAAACTGGAAACAACTCCCTGCTGAGAGAAAATATTATTTAAACATGTTTAAAGCCACACAAAACTGAGGTGATGCAACACAACCTTCAGTCTGCAGAGATCCTGAGTGTTGTTTTGTGAAAAGACACCATCATTGATAACACACAGTTTGAGTCACATGAGTGCATTCAGTGAATTTCTGTTCTTCTGGAATATATTATCACTTAAGAGGTGAAGCAGTAGCAGTTGGTAATACACAAGAGTAAACGGTTAGTCTGGGTCTTTTCACGGTGGAAACGGCCTACCAAAAGCTGCTTGTATGTGCAGCTTATGGTAGGCCTTGGTATCTGCTCTGCCAGCATGACTTTGAACTGTGATGAGCAGAACTATGAAGCATGTACAAACAGACCTGAGCCTAACAGCTGCACCACTGAAATACTGCCAAATGTGACAACAAAGATGGCTACAGAAGTTGTGTTAAACCTTTGTTTACAGCCATTTTAAATAAACCACACTGAAAATATCAAACTCTGCAGTGTGACTGAATCTATACTCACAGTGGTAGTCGATTAGCTTCAATGCCGCTTTTCATGGCCTGATTAAGAATGGGTTTGGGTTGACTCTGAACAGCTGACATATGCTGAACTGAGCCTAAAGGTTTGCTAGGTGGTATTTTTGGTGCAGTCTGCGACTGTGGAGCATTAGCAGCAGCAGCAGGTGTAGAGCTTGTGCTGGCCGACAGGACTGGAGAGACTCCAGTGACATTTGCCACCTGAACCGGTAGAAGATTGGCATGCTGAGTAGTTCCTGGACACAAAAGACAGGTTTAAAATTGGTATGGTAAATATACTAGTAGGTAACTACAATAACTGACAGTGTGCTACTTCCATACAGGTGTAAGTAATGCTACAACCATAGTTCAGGAAATGTACTCTACAAAGGTAAGCTACAATACAAGCTGACTGACATTTCTTATGATGCATGGCAACATTTAAATCTGGTCCTTGATTGTAAAATCGCAGACAGGTACAGACTCACCTGGCTGATGGTTTAATTTGGTCAGAACTTCTAGTGCTTTTTCCACTGTCTCATGAATAATTAAAGCATTTGAGCTCTGCTCCCGAGTGAACCCATAACCCTGAAACAGAACACAGGTTAAAACCCTTTCAGGCAATGATTATCTATCTATTAAAGTCAGGGGGTGTCTACAGAGAAGAACTTAATCACTCTAACTATTCAGTGGTATCAGAGAGATGCCTCTTTACCTCAAACAATCTTTGCTAACTGCAGACATGGAGTTAACATTAGTTAGAGACAGCTGGTATGACCCCCCCGGTTGTCATTTTAACCAGAAACAGCAACGATTAGCAGAAGCCGCTATCTGAATGATTTCCACACTGAGCTTTGTTAACAGGATTGTAGGTACTACTTAAATATAACAAATGAATATGGTTACATCTAATGCAGCATACATATATCAGACACAATTTTCCTTGAAATCTCTGTGAGTACACAATCACATATTACTGTTACACACCATTAGCTGTGTTATCTGCACCCGCATCAGTTCCTGGGCAGCTTCTACACATGAACTGTCCAGTTTGAGGACCTCACTGAAAGCCTGGGCAGCCTCTTTATACCTCTGATGGAAGAAGAAAAAGAAGATGAATGTTTAACACCCTCTGCCTCAGGATTACATCAAAGATCAGACTCACTGCTGGAATAATCAGCCCAGATATTAATGCTTTACAGCTACAGCCAGTCAAAACAAGTCAAAGTAAATAATGTGAGCCTGTGCAGCTCAATTGCACTTGAAATTAATTCAGTAGTGTTGCAACAAGGACAAAGTGATCACAAAGTCATTCCAACTTGAACTGATGAGGGTAAACTAAACAATGTCAACACAAATGAAAAAAGGACTGTGTTGCAAGCTACTTCTCAAAGCTGCTGAAAGGTGGGTCACATTTACAGAAGTGTAAAACTCACATTCATTTTTAGGATCACAGTTCAATAAAGTCAGCACTGAACAGTGACTGGTGGCACAAAAATGATATTATGATCTATATGATTAAAAGGGAGAAACGGTAATATCTCCTGTCTAGATTATGAAAATGTGGAAAAACATTTTTCTACTAAAACTTTGTCCTATGTTTTTAACTGGGTACAAGTGAATCAGATCCTGCTCAGGTGGCGCTGTTACAAAACAGTCTGCATGCTGGATCTATTCACATTACATTGTGCACTACCATACATGCACCCCTCAAATCAACTGCTGCTTTACTACTACAATACACAGCATTTACAACAGAGCATGTGGAGATTATCTACCTTTAGGCCAGCCAGAGCTCTGCCCTTCCTGAACAGGCCTTTAACCCAACCTGGACACAGCCTGAGGCACAAGTCTGCATCAGTCAGTGCCTTCTCATATTCTTGCATCTTTTCAAAACAGAAGGAACGATTGCCAAACAGCCTGCAACAGAAGTAACAGTTTAAACATTGCATAAAAAACACTGGTGGTGAAAGCACAATCAGCATGTTTACTGTGAACAAAGGATATGTTCTTACTTAAACTCTGTAGGATTGTACTTAATTGCATCTGTGAAATACTTCACAGCCATATTATAGTCTCCAGAACTTGCAAACCCATTTCCAACATCTGTATAAAAGAGTGAAAACTTCAGTTAAAACTGCAGTCTTTATCAATATATAGACAAATTGTGTGTGTGCGTGTGTGTGTAGAGAAAATGAACAAAACTTACTTGCAAGCTCAGTACTTATTTTTACATTATCTTCTAAGGTGTTGGTCCTAGAGGTGGCAGAATCCTGTTCAGACAAAGAGAGAAATTAGATGGCCTTCAATATCCCAAAGGCTAAATCCCAGTAATTATTCTAGGACTATACTGTGGTATTTCATCTCTCAACTGAGAATTTGACTTGTACATGATGCACCTCACCTTCTTTTCAGCCTCCTGGTCTTCATTTGGGGGTTTGTTGGGGGAAGTTTTATGTTCTTCTTTAACCAGGACCTTCTTCTTCTCTCTCCTCTCAGGCTTGGGCTTCTGCTCCAACTTAAGCTTGACTTTACTCACAAAAGTACTTGTCATATCCAGTTCCTTAAAAAATTGACAAAATGAGTCCCTTAACAAAATGGTTAAAAGGCCAATAAAAAAGTGTGTGTGTGTGTGTGTGTGTGTGTGTGTTCAATGTTTTTATTGAGTGCAATTGGAGCCAAACTCTGTAAATCCATTTCCAAGTGTGTTTCATAAGCCACATTTTTAGTGACACCATTACAAAAGCCCATTTAGAAAATCATTGCAAATTTCCAGCTGCATCAGTTGCATATTTTGTGATGAGCCTCAAATTCTGATTAAATATCTAAATACCAGGCATGTGAACTGCAGTAATATGCATGTCTGGTACCTCAAAGTCACAGGAGTCACTCTTGGTGTCGTCGTCTTCATCGCTGGTTTCATCTTCACTACTGCTGCTGCTGTCTGTATCTTTAGCTGAACCCAATTGTTTACCACTGGAATCTGCATCACCGTTGGATTCATCATTAACTGGTTTACCGTCATGTGCTTTAGACTGCTGTGCATCTTCTTTTCCCTGTAAAAAAAAAAAAAAATTAGACAAGTGTGCAGCTTGATGTTTTGTCAAAGTCTCTCATATATAATAAAATAAAGATGATGCACACAAATGATCATTACATCCTCGTTTTTATTGGGGTTCTGTTTCTCCTTTCCCAACTTCTCACGCTGTTTTTTCTCCTTCTGTTTCTGTTAAATAAAAGCACACACAGTGAAGTTTAATTGAGCAAATCTGCCATGCACTCACTACTATGAAACTCATATTGGACAAGACAAAATGTACCTTTTTCTTAAGTCGCTTCTTGTCAGCCTTTGCTCTGCTTTTCTCAGTTTCTTTTGACACTCTGTATCTTATTTCACTATCCTGAGAGTTGCAAAACAAACATTGCTTAGATTTCAATCATATAAACTCTGCAGAATTTCATAATAAAATCAGCTGGCTTGCCAAATAGGTACAGGTCAACTTACACTCTCCTTTGCTTGAACTTTTACAGAGGGCGGGCGAGGAAGGTCACACGGTGAAGTGTAGTAATGCAGTGTGGGATGACAAACAAAGCTGGATGACCTTGTATGTTGACCACGTAATTGTATATCTCTACTCATGTCAGAGAGCCTTGGGTATCCATGAAAATGGTTGTGACCATGTACATGACTGTCAATTGCATAATCATCCAGATCATCATTGTATTCTTGATCTATAGAGGGAGAAAGGTTTTATAGGTTTGTTTTGTTACAAATTAAAAAAAACTTGTGATATTACATGTGAAACTGAAGCTTTGAAGGTTGTATCGAGCAGAGGAGGTGTTTCCAAATGAAGCCTCATGTCAAAGCTTGTGTTGTTTCCCTCATTGTCATGTGATCAATAACAAATGAGGCCTTGGTTTCTTGCAGAATCACATGACTCTTTCAGTTTAAGATTCATGGATTTGAACTGCTGATACACGGACCAAGAATCATGAACCTTTTGCAATTGTAGTTGGATGGCTGATTTGCAGAAAGTGCTGAGACTGGACAGTACGTTTTGTGTTATTGTCAATTTTATTTATTGTTTAGTACTGAGGATTGAACCGTGTTTGATTCAGCTCTAGACAGTGAGAATATAAAACCACATTTAATAAACGAACTTAATATCTCCCTGTAAGATAAAAAGGTAGCATATATAATAAAAAAAAACAAAAGTTTCCCTTTCTCTTTCAGTTACAAAAGCATGTTAGTATTTGCACAGTACCGCTGATGATGGCTACACTTCATTACTTTTAACAGTAGGTGTCACTAGTGAACTGAGACAAATGAAACTTTGAGTAATGAACCTTTTAGTAATGCAATGGACTGCAAAGCCTCATTGCTTCAGGACAGCCTTGCTTGTCCACCACTACACTAAACACAAATTTAAGTGTGTGCAACAGATGTGCCATGTGAAATCCTCTTACCAAGAAGGCCAACTCTGACTATCCTTTGAAAAGGAGGACCTCCATCAAACACATCCATAACTCTCTGGTAGATGGGGAGAAAGAGAGATGTGAAAGAGAGTTCCACACAGCAGCTGACAACCAACAGATTAGCTCTGCACCTTCAGCCTCAAAACTCTCATTTTCCTTTATTCAACTTACATTCTGACCCAAATATACATCCAACAAGGGTGTTCTTAAGGTTTCCCCAAAGCAGTGTGCTAGTGTTGGTACCGACTGTGCCCCAAATTGGGGTAAGCTTACTGACACTGAATCCCTGCTTCCTTAAGTTTCATTTTCATTAACTCAGAGGAAGCTCTGACTCAATCACTCAACATTAGCACACAAGCTACTTTCCTTATGTTGGCTTAATAGTAAACACCTTTTTTAGTAAACAACTTTTTTAAAAATCTTTTTGGCTGTAAAACGCTGACATTTATTATTTGAAAAATAAGTACTTTCATTCGAAAATGTGTGAATAAAAGGTTAAAATAGTGATGTAAGCTGTTATGTTATGTAATTTAACCAAAGAATTAGCCAACTAATTGAAATACAAGGGATATATTAATAGTTGTAAGTTGCAGCCTTAGTGGAGTCCTCCTGTAGCTTCTTTATCTTGCTTCCATAGTTGAACATGCACAAGGAAGAACATTCGTGCTAAAAGCAGACTGCACCCAAAGGCTGTTGGCAGCTGTAAAACGTAGCAATATACCAATTAAACAGAAGATCGCCCTAGCTAAGGTAAACAATGTAGCATTTTAAGGAAAGCGGGCTGTGCAAATGTTTCAAAAAACCGCAGGTAAACAAATCGGATTGTTAACAATGAAAATTCTATACATCTTAAAATATGAACGTTATTCATAACAGTACATTATGTCACGTTAAGGTTTAAAGCAGGAAAACAAAATGAATTAACCTATGAACACAAAGGACACGCTGCAAAAAGAATGGCTGTGCTAACGTTACTTCCACGTAACAGTAGAGTTGCTATTTCACAAGTTCCTGGAAGAATGGTGTATATCATGATCACAATTCCTTGTTAAACAGCTGGCTATTGTGACTATTATAGCGTCACTTCTTATCATGTTTTCCTAACCTCATATGAATGTCAACTTATTAACGTCACGACGCTAGTACGTGTGCCGTGGCCTCACTGCCTTGGATGAAAAATATTCGCACACATACACAGGAAGTGACTACATATAGTGTTTTATCCAAAAAGACTGTCTTCAGCAAAACTCTGCTCAAAGTTTAATCTGATGCATCATTGCTAACTTTCAAGTACAGTATGAAGGTTGGCTGCCCAAGTTGTCCTCATTATTTTATGCATATTATCTACTCTGCGGTCGCCTACAACCCAAGAGCAAACATTTGGCCGTTTCCTTAATGTCTAAGCTCTTAAGGTAGCGTTAGGCACACACTAAACATGGCGATTTAAAAGCAGTACTTACGAACATACGGATATCAGTATACTCTGAAAAAGAGGAAAGAAGAAGACAATGTAAATTTCGGAGTTTAATAAAACAAACTGGCTAAAGCGGTGATTTATGTTTTTAGCGTTTCTTCAAATAACGTCAGCAGTTAGAAGCTCGCTACCTCGCTAGCTAAACTAGCCATCAAACAGGCAAACAAGTATTTTCTTACCAGTATCCTGCTTATATAGCGGCATAATTAGTAATACATGCCCTCCGCACTTTTATATAGTCTTAATTTTGAGTTAATTACATGTTGCATTGTTTTAACACTAACAATAGCAACTTCTAACTTCCGCTGAGTACATATCGCTGTCTGGCGCGCTCTCCAACGAAGTATATATGCATCATCAGATTCTTCTTCTGTTGTTTATTGGCGCTTTACATATCAACTCAAGGTTCATTACTGCCACGTACTGAAGTGGAGTGTGAAAAACCCCGCTTGAACGTGCAGAACTTGGTTTGTATCGCGCGCATGCGCAAGGTGGCTCTAATCCCAGGCAAGGGTCCTTTGCTGCCCCCCTGTCGGACATATGCTCGTACATACGGACAAATTAATAGCGCCTTCATGTTGTCATGTCAGGTACTGACCCTTTGTTAACGGCTATAACTTTTAATTATACGTTGTATATTCACAGCTAACATTTGGATATAATGGGCTTTGTTTGAATCATTCAAATAATACAGTTACAGTG